TATTACCCCCCTCCATGGACAAAGGTATGTGAGAGGGAGGGGGAATCAACTGTAATTTATTTTAAAAAGTACAATTATTAATTATTAAAACAACAAAACAAATTTGCTCTCCTACCCCCTTTTTTAAGTCCTAGGTCACCCTCTGCAACACACACTACATCCATATACCACCCAACACTGTGTTCCCTACACTCACTACATAACCTAAACTCACACACACTACATCCTTATCCCACACCACACTATGTTCCCTTCACACACTACATTCCTATCCCACTCCACACTACGTTCCCTACACACACTACATCCCTATCCTATCCAACACTATGTTCCCTTCACACAGTACATCCCTATCCCACCTTACACTATGTTCCCTTCACACACTACATCCCTATCCCACCCCACACTGTGTTCCTCACATACTGCATCCCTATCTAAACACTATGTTTCTCACACACACTTGGCTGTCAGTGCACTCTTATTGGTTGGCCTTCTAGCTAAGTTATTTCTGCTGCTCCCCTTTTTTCAAATGCCTTTCACTGTTTCTGTTTTCTACACTGGAGGTTGGCTACTCATGCTACAGACTGGACGTATGAGAAAGCTTTGTTCTTTTCACTTTTTCTTCTCATTTCTTGAAGTATACTGCAGCAGTATTAATACTGGGTGTTTGTGAGGGAGACTGCAACATTTGGGACATAAAGTTCAAGCAAAGAGACACAATTAAAGATCTAATGAGTCTCATTGCAAACAAAACAGGTACTCAATATAAAAAGGTAATATTAAAGAAATGGCAGACTTTCATTTAGCATTAAAAATGTTTTAAATCTGAATGGAAAGATGGTGGAGATCCAGACACTATAGCTACTTATATGAGGCAAATCAGTTACAGTGCCTAGAGTGTCCCTTTAATTTTGTTAGTAAGATGTTTTAATAATGAAATGTATATGTTCTGTGTGGTCGTTTCGTCCTGCCTGGCTGAGTCTTGCAGTGTGACTATGTACGCTACCTCTACAGAGAAGTTGGTATAAACTGATAGGGCCAGAACTAGATTTACAGGTCAGGTGCACACAATTCTAAGGCATCTCCTGCTCACCCCCACCACCCATCCCTCGCCTCACATCAGGTACCTTAATTGTAGATTTAAATGCTCTTTAATTTTACACCCTATCTAACTGGCAGCTCAACCAGGAAGCGTAAGAGGCTGATTGGACTACAAAGGACACTGACCAAGGTAGGAATTTATCTCTATACATCAGCACACATAAGCTCTAAAAAAAGCACCTTATAAGTACTGAAAACAGGCGCCCCTTGTAGGAGAGTAATTTGTAGGCATGAGCCTACTCTGCCTAATGGGAAATATGGCCCAAGATAGGGCATTGTTTTTTAAAACATCCATATGAAATCACCTGCCATGTGGCAGGTGGGTCATATCTATTAAATATTTAAGTAGTGAATATATTTAAAACTACTGAATGGGCATCCATTGCTACTTAGCTACTACAAAAGCCCCATCCTATTAGTATTGTACCTATAAAATAACAGTGGAGGGAAACATAGTTCCCCTGTGCCCTATGTTTAAATAAATGTTCAAAATAATTTTTTCAAAATCTTAAAATATGACTATTAAAATAGAAAATATGAATAAAAATATATAAATATTTCAAAAAATATGAACATATTACAATACTGTTCAAAATATTAAATCATTTTCAAACAGTGTATCGAAAAAAATTAAATAATTTGAAAAGTTTATCCAAAAATATTAAGTTGGGTCCTTTAATTGAAGAATGAGGATTCGGTAAACTAGTAGCTTGTCATTTTGTTCCGTCAAGTCACCAATGTCCATCATTGTGATTTATCTGAATTGAACATGTGACAGAAGCTATCTTCGGTGGAGATAGAGTGTTGGAATTGCTTTGGAGCATGGGATTCCTGATTCATGATATGGATTACCTGTCACCAAAATGTCTAAATGGAAAAAAAAATCTTTACACGATTATTTTCTCAGCCATTTATAGTTTTATTTCAGTATTATTGCCTGTTTGCTAGTTGATTATGTTATGTTTCCATATATGTATAGTCTAATTTTACTTTTTATCTATCTATTTAATACTGTCTGTGGATAAACTCATTGTCCTTAAAAAATTATAGGATAAATACAAAGTTGGGTCTTCATTTGAATTGTAGTATTGGGATATTATGGCCTTTATTGGGTCTAACGAAAAAAAAAAATTGAAGAAGAAAGATTTCTGAATGTAAGTACGAAATGTTATTGTACAGGTGTCTGATATATTGTGCCAACTAATTATTATTATTATTTTAGTAATCTGCTAATTGTGTCTGCACAGTCACAATTAGTTTACACAGTTGCACAGTCTGTTATCTGGCATAGTAACTGCCAGTGAACCATAGAAAACACCAGACTGACAGTGAGGCGGACAGAGCTTAGACATGTCTCCAACAATTCCGATTTTGGCAGGACAGTCCTAATTTTTGGGACTTGTCCCGCTGTCCCATTTTAGTCCCCTGTTGTCTCATTTTTTTCCTGTAAGAGCAAAACAATAAATGTTTACTTGTTCTGATATTACTTCACCATTTTGGCTATTTTTCTCTTTTCCACTAAGAATATTCTCTACAGAAGATCTTGATTACAGTACTCTTGGAAGGGGGATGAGCCTGAAACCCTCATATTTGTGAGTGTTCTACCTTATACTCACTGTAAAATTTATTTTATTACTGTATTACTCTATGTTCTATTTATAATTATTTTTAGATGCCATTTAACTCTAGTGGAATATGTTATCACATTGTTATACATTTTTTTAATTTTACATTTTTGCAGTGCATAAGATCTCTGGCATCATATTAAGCTTTACAATTTGGGAAGAAGAGTGAACATGCACAATTTTATATTCTAAGAAACATGCGTAAAGATAAGAAACATGCTGAACTTTTGCATGAACATATGTAGAGTTGAATCAATCTAGATTTTGGTTGCAAGAGTTGTTTAAACATAGTTTGTCATAGCCTATATAAGTAATGTGAAACTTGCTAGTGCTGAGATACCTGTTACTATACTAAAGTCATATACACGCTTATAGTCAGGCCCAAAATATAGTGCTGATAGAATCTTGGCCAGTAAGACCATTAGGTCTGTGGAGGGGAGGACCTGCAGTCTGTTGACAGGGCCACTTAGCCGATGCCTGCAGAGGGGAATATGTCGACACCTAGATAGGGCAGTCTATAAACATGGTGTGTATCAAAATGTCGCCAAGTGTGCACATTTTACAGGATAGGGTAATAACAAGAGGTCGTAATATCTTTAGGCAAACATGTCTAGGGATTCAAGAGTGTTAAAACAAGAAGATTTATAGACAAGGTGATATTTGGTTACTAGTAGGCACAGCCCGGGTGATTTACATGCAGCAAGGTACCTATAGAGTATTGTGGCCACTAATGCTTGGGCAGCCTTATAATGCTATATGTCTCAGCATAAACAGCAGGGTGACAAACTAAATAAAAAGATATCTGTATAACTGCTATATACAAAATAAAAGAAAGAAAAATATAGATTGCGATTTGAATATCATCTGAGTAGAACCAAATGGAGTCCAGCATTATACTGGAGGCCTGCAATGAAGCTTAACTCAGCCGATCCCAGTGTCCGGTAGGATCCATATGCCTCATGGAGGATGTATGTGATTCACCCCTTTCTCTGTCAGTGGATAATGTAGGCTGTGCTGAGAGTCCAGCTGCTGCGTGAAAATTTATTTTCAGGTCAAAATCCCAAAACCAGACATTATTCTAGCCTGGGAACAAGACTTGGGTCTGCAGTGGGACCTGGAGGAATGGCTTGCATTTACATCATCTCTCAAAGGGATCCTGCAGCGTTCCAACCATATAGAAAATCACTACAAAATTATATATACCATTGGCACCTGGCTCCTTCAAGACTCCATGAAATGAACACAAAATATTCAGATAGAGATTGGAGGGGTTGTGGAGGCATCGGTACGCATATATGGTGGCACTGTGCAAAATTACAGCCGTTCTGGCAGGGAATGCATTCACTGATTAAAAAGATAGCTCCCTCAAGTGTAACATTCTCTACAGTGGTGGATTTATTAAAATATCTCCCTAAGTAAATTAGATAAAATCATAGTAGGCAACATTCTTATTGCGGCAACGTCGATCATACCATTTTATTGGAATACTACTACTATACCATCAATCAAGGAGCCACTGATTTTAGTACTCTATAACAAAAGGTATGAACTGGTGTTGTGGCAACATTCACTTCAAAAGGTCAATTTGCAGTTTCATTGAGACGCTTGGTAAAGTGATATGCGTAAAGAGCTTCTCCTAAAGACAATTCCTCATGCCCTGCTACATATTGGTATACAACATATATATAGACATACAATTGATTATATTACTCTCAGTATTTTTCAATGGTACAAATCCACTATTTTATTATTATGTATTTGCATAACCTCCCTTTTTTACATTTCTTTTTGATTTTGATTTTTTCCCCTTCCCTTCTTTTTTCTACTCATGTTTCTATGGTAAAATGTTACTTTCTTTTTTATTTTTTCATTCTTTATTTATACTTGCAGAAGTAGGTACAATGACAGTGGATTCATAAGACAATTAAGAGTGTCAATAAAAAAAACAGCAATAATGTCTACACATTATGACATTTTGAAAGATACAAGTCATGGAGACAGTAGGTCGTAGCACAAAAGGCCTCCAATCATCCTTGATACTTTATAGTTATAGAATATATCCAGTTGCATGTTCTTGAACATGGCCAGAGAGATTAGGAGCCGTGTCGCTTTTACTATTCAATGAGGCATTCTAAGCCACCCTTCAGTCACAGTAGTTATCCATGCATACAGTATATGCACCCACTACACAAGAATTTTCTTCTGATTGGTGGAGTCGAAAGGGGAGAAAAAGACAGAAAAGAAAGGAAAGAAGACGAGAAAGAGAGAGAGAAGGCGTAAAGAAAGTCGACACAGAGGCGGCCCTCCTCTCTAAAGGGTCCAAGTCACTAGTCTGCCTAAGGGTTGCCTGAAAAGTCTTTCCACGGCTCCCAAATCCTTGCAAATGATTTTAATGTCCTGGGAAGTTACCTTATCTATCAGGTACGTATCTCAAATTTTCAGGAGTATGACATCCATAAGAGATTTGTTAGGTTTTAGCCATGCCTGAGCTAGCGCTCTTCTGGCTGCTAAGGTGATTTTGTGGATAAGTTTTTGCTCAGTATTGGTTCATCCATCTAGTGATTTAGATTATAAGAAGACCAAACTATCGGTTCATCAAAAAAGTCAGAGATGAGTTTCCCAATGTCCCTCCAGAAGGTTTGTGTGACGAGACCAATCTCGCCACATTGCATTGGAGAAGCCTGGTTGCTCGCCTGCTGCCTTTGGACTATGGCCCCCTTTTAAAAGACTTTATTTTTGCCTGCAGAAAAGCTGTATTCGTGCTTTTCTGCCTGGGGTTCGGTAGATTTGTTTGAATGTGTTATACCCCAGATAGGAATCCCATGGAGCCCATTCATATGAAACTGACTGTAAAGACTTTAGCTCCATGGCGATTAAACTGTATTCGTGTGGTCTGAGCGCCATTCACTTAATAATGTGCGCTCGGACCTGAGCTATCTGGGGATATGTTACATGTCTGTGTTTTATGTAATAAATGTGACTTTATGTATTTTAAAGTGTTTTGTGTCTCTTTGCAACCATGTGCTTAATGGAGTCTTGTGTCTGTCCTGGGAGATAATTGAATTACTTATCTCCAGGATAGAAGACTCTGAAACTGGTTTGGGCCAGAAAGCCATGCTTCATTTAGTCACAAAGGACTTTTTACTAACTTTTGAACCCCTTGTCTGATTTGTGCCATTTTTGAATATGTTGTTCCCCTGAATGGATTGATTGAGAATATGTAATTTTATGTGAATGTGATGTATGGTTTTGGAGTTATGAAAGTTGGGTAGAAAGTATGTTTTAACTGTTTGTATAATTGAGTTTCCTCTCAGGATAAGGGGAGGGAATATGTGGGATGTAACTGTGATATGATTGGTTGTTTTATCCCTCCCTGTGGGTGGTCCTGTATTTGAAACACTGTAATAAAAACCAGGCTGGGTGTGCCAGCACCTCAGACCACTGCTTGACCCTCAACACGGAGCCTTGTCTCGTTCTTGGGGGGATTCACTGTATGCTGTTAGAGACTGATTGCCAGGAGTGTAAGCTGCTTGTCTGCTTTTCCTGTTCGTCTGCTAGCAGCTATTTGGGAGGTTCCAGTTCGGGAGTTGGAGTGTTATTTTGTATCCAGTTTGGGAGTTTGATGTTCTGCAGTAGCTGTGCCTGTATCTCTGGAAAGGGGGCCGATCACCTAAACGGTTTTTTTCCCCTTTTGTGCAAAACTGTCCGTTACAATTGGTGGCAAGCGGCGGGATCGTTCCTACAGCCAGAAGGACAGCTACAGGAGACACCGTTTCTTTGGATTTACAAGTGGGGGCAACGCATGTCCCAGTACAGCGACCCTAAAAGCAACAGAATGGAACCAGCAGTGTTATACAAGGAGGAGGACCTGGATGGCCGGGATGCATTAAGGAAAGGCATCTGGTACCAGGCCCTGGATAATGTACAATACCAGCGGGGTGAGAGTCTCCCCAGTGAAGAGCAGCGGTTGCAGAAGCAAGTGGCCCTGCGGATGCCCTTCCTGGGAGAGCAGCCCCTGGAGGAATGGGTGAAGGAACTAGAGCATCGGGTATGGCAGGAGCTATGGCTGGAGGATGCCTACCAGGCGCTCTGGTGGTATATGGCACAGTATATACCCTGGACAGCTGAGCATGACAAGCCAGAGGGAGAGGAGTTTGATGGTCCTGGCTTGTTATGGGAGTCCTTTGCAGAGCCTGACTTCGGGAGCCCTGCGCAGAACAGACTTCAGGAAATTTTCTATGAGAGGGAGGCTAGGCATGACTGGGATGACCCCCATGAGGTAGAGCAAGACCTGGCTCACCTAGCAACCCTGGAGTGGGAACTGGAGCAGGACTACCGAGATCTCTTCCACTCCATTGGGAAGGCTCCGCAGGACAGCAGAGTGACAGATCCAGTCTCAGACCCATTCAGCTGGGAAGATATTGTTGAAATTTACTGGGAGGAACCCCAGGCGGCAGGTGGAGAGGGGACCGAGGTCCCTCCACCGGTATTGCAGGGAATTGGGAGCCCGAGCTCCATTCCCCAGCGGGAGATATTGCAGGGAATTGGGAGCCCAAGCTCCATTCCCCAGCGGCAGGCTGAGTTACAGGGGGCAGAGGTAGTTGTTCCTGCCCCCCAGCAGCAGAGTGATATGCCAGGAAGGCAGTGTGAAGTGCAGGGAGAGGAGAGCAGCGTCCTCCCTCCCCAGCGGCAGGCTGAGTTACAGGGGGCAGAGGTAGTTGTTCCTGCCCCCCAGCAGCAGAGTGATATGCCGGGAAGGCAGTGTAAAGTGCAGGGAGAGGAGAGCAGCGTCCTCCCTCCCCAGCGGCAGGCTGGGCTACAGGGGGCAGAGGTAGTTGTTCCTGCCCCCCAGCAGCAGCATGATTTTTTGGGAATTGGGAGCCCAGTCTCCATTCCCCAGCGGGAGATACAGCAGGGAATTGGGAGCCCAGTCTCCATTCCCCAGCGGCAGAGTGTCCTACCGGGAATAGAGAGCCCAGTCTCCTTTCCCCAGCAGCAGGACACTGTATTGGGAGCAGAGACAGTCGGTCTCCCTCCACAGAGGATGAAAGTATGTATGGGAGAGGAGCTTGCTACCACCTCTCCCCAGCGGCGGATCATTAATGGGCAGGGAATAGAGAGCTCAGTCTCCTTTCCCCAGCGGCAGAGTGTTCAATCGGGAGAGGAGCCTGTTACCCCCTCTCCCCAGCGGCAGCTTAATGTATCAGGGGGAGACAGTAAGCCCCACAACTGTGCAGATGGGACCGTAGTCTCTACACTGCCAGCACAGGGGGTAGGGACGGTCGGTTCTGCCCCCCAGCGACAGGGCTGTTTAGCCAAAGGGGAGACAGTCGGTCTCCCCCTCCAGCAGCAGAGATGGGTAACCAAAGGGGAGACGGTCGGTCTCCAGCAGCAGGACTGTGCATCTAAAGGGGAGACAGTCAGTCTCCAGCAGCAGAGCGGTGTATTTAAAGGGGAGACAGTCGGTCTCCCCCTCCAACAACCAGGCTTCAACCAGGCTATCCTCCCAGTAGCGCTGGCAACAGGGCAGAGTGCCGCTGGTCTCTGCCCACGCAGCAACCCACCAAGTCAGCGTACCCGTACCCAGCCCAGCCGTGGTGAGGCACCTGGACATGGACAAGCTTCTCCTTTACCCAGGTGTAGTAACCATTTATTGTGGGTGGGCTGTGCTGTTGATTATTTGTTGTGGGTGGGCTGCTGGACTAACAAGGGCACTGACCGGCAGGAGGTCAGATACCCTGTTAGTCTGTTTGGAAAAGGGGAGAGATGTGACGAGACCAATCTCGCCACATTGCATTGGAGAAGCCTGGTTGCTCGCCTGCTGCCTTTGGACTATGGCCCCCTTTTAAAAGACTTTATTTTTGCCTGCAGAAAAGCTGTATTCGTGCTTTTCTGCCTGGGGTTCGGTAGATTTGTTTGAATGTGTTATACCCCAGATAGGAATCCCATGGAGCCCATTCGTATGAAACTGACTGTAAAGACTTTGGCTCCATGGCGATTAAACTGTATTCGTGTGGTCTGAGCGCCATTCACTTAATAATGTGCGCTCGGACCTGAGCTATCTGGGGATATGTTACATGTCTGTGTTTTATGTAATAAATGTGACTTTATGTATTTTAAAGTGTTTTGTGTCTCTTTGCAACCATGTGCTTAATGGAGTCTTGTGTCTGTCCTGGGAGATAATTGAATTACTTATCTCCAGGATAGAAGACTCTGAAACTGGTTTGGGCCAGAAAGCCATGCTTCATTTAGTCACAAAGGACTTTTTACTAACTTTTGAACCCCTTGTCTGATTTGTGCCATTTTTGAATATGTTGTTCCCCTGAATGGATTGATTGAGAATATGTAATTTTATGTGAATGTGATGTATGGTTTTGGAGTTATGAAAGTTGGGTAGAAAGTATGTTTTAACTGTTTGTATAATTGAGTTTCCTCTCAGGATAAGGGGAGGGAATATGTGGGATGTAACTGTGATATGATTGGTTGTTTTATCCCTCCCTGTGGGTGGTCCTGTATTTGAAACACTGTAATAAAAACCAGGCTGGGTGTGCCAGCACCTCAGACCACTGCTTGACCCTCAACACGGAGCCTTGTCTCGTTCTTGGGGGGATTCACTGTATGCTGTTAGAGACTGATTGCCAGGAGTGTAAGCTGCTTGTCTGTTTTTCCTGTTCGTCTGCTAGCAGCTATTTGGGAGGTTCCAGTTCGGGAGTTGGAGTGTTATTTTGTATCCAGTTTGGGAGTTTGATGTTCTGCAGTAGCTGTGCCTGTATCTCTGGAAAGGGGGCCGATCGCCTAAACGTTTTTTTCCCCTTTTGTGCAAAACGGTCCGTTACAGTTTGCACCTGTGGGCATTCCTACCACATGTTTCTGTGGTGCAGAGTTTTTCGAAGAAAGTAATGCGTATGCAGGCTGCCTGTTTTATGTGGGGTTGTTGGACAAAATCTCATGCCTGAATGCATCAGAAGTAGTCGGCGGTGGTCAGCGGCGTCCGGCCCCAAAGTTCAGGAAAGGAAACCACTGAGTCGCCCTCATACATTTGGCAGATCCTCTGGATGCCTGCATATTCAATTCCTCTAAATTCCCTAACTCTCATCCCTGGTGGAAAGGCTCTATTTTGCAATATGGGCATCATTGGGGACAGGGGGGGACCTAAACTCATACTTCAGAGCACAACCATCCCATATCTATAAGGAGGCCACCACTGCCTGGTAAGCTGTGCACAATATTGCCCTGTGTTCCTAGGGAGTCCAGATATAGAACTGTGGAATATCCGTACCCATCAGAAGGGATTCAATATCTACCCACCTCTGGACTCAAGGAGTGAGCGCCAGGAAACTATTTGAGCAAATTGCGCTGCCAAAAAATAAAAAAGTAGGTGTAGGCCCTGTCACGGCAAGGGTGCATAATTTATTATTACACTATGAAATATTATCCTTTAATGTAATTTGTGCAGTAAATGGCACAAAATACAGAGA